ATCGTCTTCACGATCCATTCTTTCATTGTGGGTAATGTCGAGTCTTTCCACCTTTGAGTATGTAAAAGTCTAGCTGCAGTTATCATATATAAAAACAAAGGTCCATGAGTTTTTCCAGTTGTTTGTCCTTCAGTCGCAAAAGAAAAGCCTCTGGTTTTAACTGTATATTAACCTTCAAGATCTTCTGAATTAATATATGAATTTGGTTCCAAATTTGTTTAGCTTTATTACATGTCCACCAAAGATGATGAAATGTCCCTTCTTGTTGTTCACATTTCCATCATATATTTGAAACCCCTTTATACATTTTGGATAATCTTTCTGGTAACAAATATCATCTAGACATCATTTTATAAAAATTCTCCTTCAAATTATAACACAATGTAAATTTTAACCTTTTCATCCACATATTTTTCCATTGTTCTATTTGTGTATTATGTCCAAAATTTTTAGCCCACTTTATCATACAGTCTTTAATTTGTTCATCTTCTGTTTCAAAACTCAACAAAAGTTTATACATTTTAGCAATAAGATGTTCATCACTGGTGCACAATTCTGTTTTAAAAACAGCTTTGTTTTGTTCAAAACCATATACTGTATCTTTATCAACCTTAAATCTTTCTCCAAAGTTTTCTGCCATTTTTCAGATGGAAGCATAAAAGTCATAGTGTAACTTCTAAAATGAGCTTAATACGGCTTACAAAAAACAAACTCCAAATCTCAGCCCAGCCAATTAAATGATCACCTGGTGCATTATGTAGGCCTTGGGCTCCTCCTGAATGTCAAATGTGGCCCTCAGCCTCTGAAAGCTTGCCCTGGCTTAAATATAATGCAACACATTTGTTTTGCCCTGCCTTGCTGTTCCCACCTATATAATCAAATCATTGTTTCTGCCCTTTTGCCAAATAGACCAGGCAGATGGTGGCCCGCAAGCTCTCATTATCCCTGTCCCAGATTCCCTATATTTGACTCCATGGTGCTTGCACCCCTCTCACTTCTGAACTGGGAAAGACCTGCTCCCTCACAGTCCAGGTATAGAGAATAGACCCTATTCTGGACCCATCAGAATGCCTCATCCTGAGGTCACCTGAACAAGATCCTACAAAGGAGAGGAAAAGGGATTCCTATCAACTTCTTCTTGACAACAGATGAATGACACATCTGGCAAAAACAGTTCCTTTATTGATCAACATCATGGACTGTGAAGTTCCTGAAAAAAAGATATATGCTGATTATCAGTTATCTCAGCACGCCTTAGTCTAAAATGTGGGATGGATCTTCTAGTTATGATGTATGAGGGTGTGAGAGAGAAAGTGAAGAAGTCACACACAAATGCTCATATCTCAAAAACCTTTCCCTATGTTGTGATGATATATGTGCATTCATCATGCCAGGGGTTGTAGTGCAACTGTGAGCATGGATGACTATGTTCCAGGCTAATCCTGCAAAATAATAATGATCGTGAGTGCTTGATGAGTAGGAAGGAGCAGGACGTAGCAGCTGTACTTGCTAACAAAGTTCATATTTTCAGGCGGGAGGAGGAATAGTATGTCGTACCACACCCAGCTGAACATGAGGTTGAGAAGGGCTGCTGTGGGGTGTTTATTAGGGCTGTTCAGTGCTTTAAATTTGCTCCCAAATAGATGCTTCCAAGTGTGCAGGATTGTGAATGGAGCACACAGCTACAACTCCTTAAAGCAGCTCTGCTTTTTCCTGGGATCACATGGCAACTGCAGATGGCTTAAAAGCATTGGAGAAAGGTACTGTGCTTGTACCCATATTTTGAAGCATCTTTCTGGAATCAGTTCCGAGGCACTGCACACCCCTAGTGTTGATATTTAGCATTCCAAATGATGTTCCTATGAGGCATCTAAACATAGGATTCTTCCACATGGCCATTGCTTTCACTCCCCAGAAATATCACATACCTGTGTTTGTCCTTGCAACAGCTGATCTGGAATCTGAGAATGCCCCATGAGCCAAACAGTGCTCCTTCCAACTACCCAATTAGATTAAAAATAGTACCCAGCTAGTGCCCGTCCCTCTCTGTACTGTGATTTGTGTTTGGGGATTTCTAAAAATTACAGTAGTTGCTCTGTGGGAGGGTGAAAAACCACAATGGAACCATCTTTCTGCTCAGTTCCAGATATGGATGAGATATGGCATGAAGTTATGGGAATTGATCAATATAAGGAGTGAGGAAGGACTCAGGAGCCAGGAGTTCTCAACTGTGCTAAAGCAGCGTGTCCCAGTGCTCTAGTATTTCGAATGAAAACCAGATTCGCAGTGATTTCTGATGCACCATGGATGATCTTGAAATAAATCAGTTCAGCTGCCCAAAAGAGATGATCACAGGGCCACTCTAGCAATGGTGCCAATACTGCATGGGAAGTATTCGCAGAAGTTGTCAGCAATGCGTTCTAGTTCCCAGATGTGAATTTCCTCCATAATTTATCACACCAGCCATCCTTTGCAAGTTCTAATGTGAACAAGAGACACAGCCCCATGCTTTAAACTTTAATAGCTGAGTTGTAGTTTCTGTAGGTGTGCTTCATATACAGATGTTGGTGTTCTGAGACACAATGTTGAGTTACATTATATTCCACAGATCCCCACCATTTTGGGACCATTTGGAATTTTGAGGGTATGTTGCAGATATTCTCACCAGATGTTACTATGAAGTTACATTTATTTATTAGGAAGCAAGCTGATGAGAATACTCTCTGCAGCTCTCCTCTCCGACGTTCATTATCTCCTACCTGCCCACCTAAGAATGCCTCTAGAAAGGATGTCAGGTCTCAGAGGCTTTGACAATTAAGATAATACTGGAATTGATTTTTTTTTGCTTTAAAGCTTGCCAGTGTTCACCAACAACAACTATTCTCCCCGAGTTACCAAAGAAACTGAGTTTTACTCATATTTCATATTTGTAATTATTTGGTGTCTCTTTATATAATACATAGCACTACACATGCTTGGACTGTATTTTTTTTTTTTAAATAAATGATTACAAAAAGAATTGTTTCTCTTTTGTTGTTGGGGGGTGCGGGGGGGAGGGGGTGACACGCCAGCAGAGTCAAGCTAGGCATTTTCTGAGTTTTTGACACACCGAGCCCAAAAGGTTCACCATCCCTGGTCTAAGATGACCAGCATGGTCCTGTTGACGGTTAGTAACAGTCAGGGCTCTGGTTCAAGAAATTTCCCTATCACCAATTTCACAAGGAGGGCAAATTAAAATTGTTCTTGAGGCTTGGATCCTATCCATATTATCATGAAGAATATAGAAGATAGCTTGGATTCCTAATAGTGTGCTAATGGACATCTCCTTTTCTGCCTGCCAGGGTCACTGCCACATCTGACTCAAATAAAAAAAAATGTAAGGTTTTTTTTTTTAAGTTTTAAAATTTTTTATTTATTTAGGTTTGCCATCACTCAGTTTCTTTGGTAACTCAAACAGAGAATAGCTGTCGCGTGTTGGTGAATGCTGGCATGTCACCCAAAATGTTGCATGTGTCACCTTTGATACGCATGTCATAGGTTCGCCATCACTACCCTAGACATTTTAGCTGTTCCGTATCTTTATCCTTGGGATGTTCCTCTGGGCTATTACAGCAGGTTCTTCTGTCAGCACACTGGATTTTCCCTTGGTTCTAGTTAGCTTAACTACAACACTGCATAGCTG